TTGTAAGTAACCTAGAACTGTTGATAGGAAGTTATGAACTTAAACCTTAATATTTCATAAAAAGATAAGTGAACTAATTTACTAAGAGAAGCCAACAACTGTCAAATACCAAGCTGGAATGAGAACAAAGTTTATTATCACGTGTACAAGCTTTAGCTTATTAGAATACTTTCCTATATTTTTTGTAGCGCCTGGGTGGCTCGGTTGGTTGAGCCTCTGACTTCAGCTCAGGTCACTATCTTGAGGTTTATGGATTCAAGCCCTGCATCTGGCTCTGTGGGCTCAAACCTAGGAAGCAGGAGATCATGACCTGAATTGAAGTCAGACACTGAACCCAGTGTTTGGGCTCTGTGCTGACAGCTCAGAGCCTGGAGCCTGCTTTGAACTCTGTGTCTCCCTCTCTTTCTTTCCCTCCCTGCTTGTGCTCTGTCTCTCTCTCTCTCTCTCTCTCTCTCAAGAATAAATAAACATTTATGTGGTTTGAGATGTAAGTATGGAGGTGGGTGGGTGGCTTGAAAATATGTGCTGCCATGTATTTAGAGCCATCTACATTGGTACTCAAGGCCACAATAGAAACATTAATATAATAGGAGGAAAGTAAATCAATCTGAAAAGAATTCATGGTTCTTTCAACATAAGTGAATACATGCCTAATTGAGAGGCAAGCTATAGGAATCAAGATACCACTTTGAAACTGGGAAGATCCGGCTTCGCTGATAGCATACTATTTCAGTTAAGTGCGACTAAACACTCTTGGAGGGGATTTGAAGGAATAGGAAGAAGAAGGAAGAAGGAAGGTATTTGATTTTTGTGTTTTTTACTTACATTTGAGAAATCATGAATAAGTGCCCATGGATTTTGGCTTCTCTCTAAAACTATAAAAGTTAGAAAGTAAAATGAAAGCCACAAATGTCACTTTTGAATGTCCATTGACAAGAAAAGAGGATATTATTTAGATGGTCTCCTAAACTATTATAACACAATCATTGCATGACTTTTTTTTTTAAGTGTTGCTCTACATCTGTTCCTTGCCTTGGGGTATATTAGTATATTTTGGAGAGATTAGGGCACCACTCAAGTTGATCAGCTAGCAGGCTTTAAATACTGTGTTCTTGTGTGTGAGTGTGAAACTGATTTATAAGTGACCAGGCTGTAATTAAGCCATATTAATTACAGTATGATTGAACAGCCTAAGACAATGAGCTCAAGTAATATTACTGACAGCCTTTGAAATGAAAGTTATACTCTCTAAAAACACCAAAATGGACCTATTTCACTTGTCAGTGATTGTAAAGTTTGCTTATAGAAGGAGTAAGTGTGGTAAAGGAAGCATTCTGGGGAAAGAATATTATTTCATGTCCTTACAAGAGTTTTATGTCTAAACAGAGGGCTATATGATATTTGAATATTGATATTCTATCCTAACTAAAGCGGTCACAAAAATAAAAGCCTTTGGGTTCTGGCCTTTCAGAGACCTTCCCACTAAGTTCAAGTGCACCTAGGAAAAAGTAGCAAATAAATCGAGTGGTTAAGAACTATTTTATTTGTTTGTTGTTTGTTTACCAACCACAGCTAGGTAAGAGGAAGTGGGTTAATTTTGAAACCTTAAGTTTCCTTTTCTCTAAACCAATAGTTATTGCTGGCCATTAATGTGTTCTTTCCTTTGCAGGAAGTTGCAAGATGAGAGAAGAAGAAAAAGAAAGAAAGAGAGAAAGAAAGAGAAAGAAAGAAAGAAAGAAAGAAAGAAAGAAAGAAAGAAAGAAAGAAAGAAGAAAAGAAAGAAGGAAAGTAAGAGAGAGAGAAAGAAAGAGAGAAAGAAAGAAAAGAAAGAAAGAAAGGAAAGAAAGAAAGAAAGAAAGAAAGAAAGAAAGAAAGAAAGAAAGAAAGAAAAGAAAGAAAAGCAAAACCAACCTGGCATTATTTTTAGCTTTCCTCTGATTTGGATATAGCTACCGTCTTTCCATTTTCTCATGGAAACTCTCATAACTGTTCAAAGGAGTAAAATGAGGCAAAGCCAGGACCAGGGAGCTGTGCCAAAGGACTTAAGGCTGGGTTATTTCCGTGAAGCTGACTTGCAGGAAGCCAGCTGCCCTGCTCCAATGCAAGAGGGTTCCTACAGCTGGGCAGACTCGAGTCCTGCCTAAATCGGGTCCCTCTGAGACCGGGTATCAGTTTCCTTGGAGAAAGAGTTGAAGCTTCTCAGCTTCAGACCTTCCTTTGAATATTAATACGGTGGTAACAGCGGTATCTAGCTCTTTGAGGGCAAGAGTTGTTGCAATGGTGAATGATTTATAAACCGAGCTTAAAATAGCAAGGATGCTATTAAAAAAATAGTAAAGAAATAAAAAAAAATAACAAGGATGATCTATTTTTGCAAAATTTCATTTAATGCAGCTTAACAAGGCAGTACCTATAGCTTAGATCTGTAGTTGGTGAACTGTGGCTCTCTACCTCTTTGAGTACTGTCTGCAAGCTCAGAATGAAAGAATAGTATTTCATATGAAATAGTATTTCATGACATATGAAAATTAGATCAAGTTCAAATTTCAAAATTTGCAGAAATTCGTTCTCTCTTTTTATGTAAGTACCTACATAATATCCTTGACTTTGGCTGTTGACCTGTTAAACTTAAAATATTTACTACCTCGCTCTTTACAGAAAAAGTTTGAAGATCTTTGTTCAGAAGAGCATGAGATTCAGTGTCAGACAAATCTGGATCGAGCCCCCTGGGCTGCCACTTACTAAGTGTATGACCTTGAGCAAGATATTTAACTTTCCTAAGGCTTAGTTTCCTTGTCTATAAAATGGACAGTCGGATACAATTTATCCTGCCAAATTAAATGAGATAATGCATTTAATGTGCCTAACACAATGCCTATCAGATGGTAAGGGATCCACACATTGGTATTTTGTCATCGTTGTTTTACCACAAAGCAACTGAAAACTAAATAAAATTGTAAAATAGAAGGAATTTTAAAGTTACATTTGAAGATGTACTAGGTTCTACAATATTATACCTAGGATTTCACCTTCTTCTTCTTCTTCTTCTTCTTCTTCTTCTTCTTCTTCTTCTTCTTCTTTTTCTATTAAAAGTCATTTGGGATTAAACAGCAAAAACAAAGTCTCACTCATAACAGAATGGATAAAAGCAGTAAGTCCTGTGTTAAGACAGAAGTAAAAACAGTCACACATGTAGGGAGAGCTGAGATCGCAAGCAGTATATCTGAATATATAAAAACCCTCACCTCTTCAGATACGAGCTTGTTAAATTTTGAAAAGTTAATAAAATAGTGAGATAGAGCCCCATGTTTGACTTCACACCGACTGCTCAGAGCCTGATTGGGAGTCCTCTCTGCCCCTCCCCCGCTCACGTGCACTTGCTCTCTCTCAAAAACAAGTAAATAAGCACTTTAAAAAAATAAAAATAGCAGCTTTATTGAAATAACATTCACAAACCATACAATACACCCGTTTCAAGTATACAATTCAATTTTTTTTGTATTTTCAGAGTTGTGCTACCATCACCACAATTAATTTTAGAACATTTTCCTCACCCCCAAAATGTACACATTGGCAGTCAGTTCTCTCAGTCCCTCCCGTCCCTGGTAACAACTAATCTGGTTTCTGTTTCCATAGACTTGCTTACTCTGCACATCTCACATAAATGGAATCATACAATACGTGGTGTTTTGTGAATGCCTTCTTTCATTTAGCATAATACTTTTTCCATCTTATAGCAGGTACTTCATCCCTGTTAATTGTGAGATAATTTTTCACTGTGTGGATGTACCACCTTCTGTTTACTGATTCATCCAGTGATGAACAATTCGAGTGTCTTTAACCTTTGACCATTGTACTGTCTAGAACGCCTTTTGCTCTGACCGAGGCTATATACTGTCAGCAATATTTGCCAGTCACCTTGGCTCAGATGGCTTTGTGGTGCACCGGTTCTCGGTGAGATAAGAAATGTTAGTATAACGTTCTGTCAGAGCCCTGTAAGGAAATGAGAAATGTGGAAGGGACTGTGGTCAGGGCTGTAACAGCTTCTGTTCAGGCAGTAATGCAGTGCTGAAGGGGCACTGAATGCTGTTCGTAGAGCAAAAGCTGAAAAGAATTGAGAATGAATTGCTGTATAGTCACACAACTGAAAAGTTGAAAATATAGATAACCCCTGGAGATTACATACTGTATGATACTCTTTTCGCGAAGTTCAAAGACAAGCCAAAATTAAACAGCATATTGTCTATGTACCTATATATGTGATAAAATTGGAAAGGGAGGAATGATCAGTTCCCCCAAATCAATTCATGCCCATGGTTACTATCTTAGGGAAGAGGCAGAGGATTGGAATAGAATACTGGCCCCATATAGGCAGATATAACTGGTTGGTAATGTTTCTGGACTAGGGATGAGGTCAAAGGCATTCACTGTAAACATCGAACTATAAAGGAGGGCTACCTATGGATTAATGATGAGAATGCCATGAACCAAAGAATATGATAAATGAACCCAGGTTACCTGAATCCAAATAAAAAAATGAGAAAAATAAATAAAAGCAGTGCATGTAGATTGTAAAAAGTTGGATACACATGTAAAGTATGTAATTATAAAAAAGAAAAAGTTTTACTGGTTATTCCTTTTGGTAGAAAAATTACCATTAATATAGTAGTAGTATAGCTTCTCGTTCTTTCCTCTATGAATTAAAATTTTTTAATGAGACAAAAAAAATATCAAGTTGGTCAAGTCTCTCTTCTCTACGGGGACTGTATAGGTCGGGCTACCCACTCCGGGATCCTACTACCCAGGACGTGGTCAGAGGCTGGAGCCCTAACTCCGCCCCGCTTCGCTCAGGTTCAGAGAGCACGCCCGGGAGGGGTGTGCCCAGCTCCTCTGGGGGCGTGGCTAAGAGGAGGCGGTCCTCGGCCGGGGCCCAGGTAATCGGGGCGGGGCTGGGAGGAGCCACGCGTCGCGGCGTAATGACGTCAAGGACGCGCCCGGCGTGGCGTGGCCGGCATGCGCCGCTGCCTTTCGGTGTTTTGGTCCACGCTCTGGGGTCGGGGGGCAGGCGAACTGTGCGCGTGGCCGGGATGTTTCCGGCCGCTGGAGCTGTGTATGAAGAAGAGGAGCAGGCGGAGGAGGACTGCCCCGAATTGGTCCCCATTGAGACGAAGCTCAGAGAGGAGGAGGAAAAGTGTGGCCCCGGCGCTAAGATCCCAGTCACAATTATCACCGGGTATTTAGGTAACTAACCATCCCGGTCAGAAAATGCCGTGAACGTAGCCTGGGATTTTGGGGACTGACGGTGCCTCTTCACCTTAGGCAGCTGGGCCTTCTGGCCGGCCGCAGATGTCTCTGAGGTAGGGGCTGGGTCACTTGCTCCCTGTATGGGTTGCTTCTCATCTCGGGGCTCAGGGATGCCCAGACCCCTTCTTGTATTAGATCCACATTTATCACGTGAGCTTGAAAGTTAACCTCGCATTTTGAAGCTAGGTCTGGCTTTGCACGTAGAGGCCTGCACCCGCCCCCTAATTATCCCGGTGACCGCTAACAAGTTGTCTTACCTTTCTGAAGCTCGTCAACCGCACTTGAAAGTGGACGTGTTATTCGTCACCTGTTTGAGTTTGTTTACTCGTCCGTAGAAGTCTATTACCATTAAAGGGTGCCCTGTCTGTAAAATGCCCGGCCCACAAGGGTATTCTAGATTCCCCTTCCACCTGGAGCCAGTCTCTTCCAGCTATTTGTGGCGAGGACTGCTATCTCAGACCGTTGTTTTTTTTTTTTTTTAACTGAGGTCTGTTTGCAAAGCACTCTTTTTTTTTTTTTTTTTTTAATTTCTAGGAGAGAGAGAGACAGTGTGAGCAGGGGAGGGTCAGAGAGAGAGGGAGTCACAGACTGAAACAGGCTCCAGGCTCTGAGCTGGCAGTCAGCACAGAGCCCGACGCGGGGCTCGAACCCACGAACCGCGAGATCGTGACCTAAGCGAAAGTCGGACGCTCAACCGACTAGCCACCCAGGCGCCCCCCAAAGCACTCTTGGAGAAGGAGTAAGAATGCATTCTCAACCCTCCAAGACCTGTATTTCTCAAGCTGTGGACATTCAGGAGTGCACAGGCACCCTTAGATTCATAGGTGTGTAAACGTACAAAGTGTCCTGAAGGACACTTTGTGCGTTTACACTTGGCGGTCCTTTATTGGAAAAGTCCGATGAGTATTATTTTAAACCCTTACAGTTTAATAGAAGGGCTAGAGTAAATACACGAGCATATTAAGCGTGTGGGGAAAGTTAAGAACTGTAAATAAAGCCAGGCGATTTGGGGTAGATAATACTGTTCCTAGACCTGGGGAACCTTTTACCTAAAAATAAGGATTAAATCACTGGTGCGTTTTATTTATGTATTTTTTAGATTTCTCCTTTTTACTCAGGACTAATTTCAGAAAGGAATTTATTTTTGGTGTTTCCCCACTATTTTTTCAGGGGCTCCTCTGTTAAGAAGTTAAGAAACTTTCTTGCCTGAGGTGGTATGGTTCAGACGTGCCCCTGGGGCCCTCCCCATTTTGGTTGTCTGTAGGTCGGGAGAGCATTGGAGGTAATGGCCCCGAGGTTGAGGAATGAGGACTTTGTCAATAACCTTGTTGCTGAGTATAGGGGATATAGTTTCACTGCTTATTCTTGACTATTTTCTCTTTTTTGAAACATCACAGTTTTCTTTTTTTTTTTTTTAACATTCATTTATTTTTGAGACAGAGAGAGAGAGCATGAGCTAGGGAGGGGCAGAGAGAGAGGGAGACACAGAATCTGAAGGCGTCAGCACAGAACCCTATGCGGGGCTCGAACCCATGAACCGCGAGATCATGACCCAAGCCGAAGTTGGACGCCCCACCGACTGAGCCACCCAGGCGCCCCGAAACATCACATTTTTCTTCTGATTCTTCCACCTACTTCTCTGGCCTTTCCCTTTTAAATTTTTTTCCACCTCTGTGCATCCTTTTAACTTCACACTCAGTTTCCGTTTTGATATCCCGCGGACTCCTCAAACTCAGCAGGTCCAGAGCTCTCATGTCTTGCCCTCCAATCTTCCTGCTCCTGTGATTCCAACGACCTGGAATACTCTAAAAAGTTTTCTCACTAGTCTTGTGTCATGCTTCCTTTTAATATATTCCGTGTACTTGAGCCTTAATGATCTTTGTAAGTGTCAACTGATTGTGTTACACCCATCAGTGGTTTCCATTTGGTTTACAGTTCAGATTCCTTAACACGAATCAGAAGGTCCTGTATGATCCAGCTCTTGACAGCCTTTCTGGCCTTCAGAACTGTGGTCCAGACACACTGAACCACTTTTACGTGTAAAAGGTGCCACGTATTTTAGCTCCTGGAGTACTTTTCTTTTTTGTTACTCCTTTGTCTAGACGTCCCTCTTAGGTGCTTCATAACCTCTTGTACATCTCCTATCCACTGTAGAATCCTGTGACATAATTATGTCTTATTGATCAGAATTCCCTTGCATCTCCCACTCTCTTAGTGTTTGTGAGTGTTGTGAAAGTAGGGACAGTTCATCTTTGTTTTGTGCCCTTTTCACCAAGGCCCAGCATAACATCTGGCCCATAGTAGACTTAAAAAAATTTTCCTTAGGGGCGCCTGGGTGGCTTAGTCGGTTAAGCGTCCGACTTTCGCTTAGGTCATGATCTCGCGGTTCGTGGGTTCGAGCCCCGCGTCGGACTCTGTGCGGACTGCCAGCTCAGAGCCTGGAGCCTGTTTCCGTCTGTGACTCCCTCTCTCTCTGACCCTCCCCTGCTCGCGCTGTCTCTCTCTCTCTCTCTCTCCTAGAAATAAAACATTAAAAAAATTTTTTTTCTTTAATACTTATTTATATTTGAGAGACAGAGAGAGCGCACGCATGAGCATGAATGGGAGAGGGGGAGAGAGAGAGGGAGACACAGAAGCCAAAGCAGGCTCCAGGTTCTAAGCTGTCAGCACAAACCCCCGACGTGGGGCTCTAACTCACAAACTTTGAGATGCTGATCTGAGCCAACGGACGCTTGACCGACTGAGCCACGCGGGCGCCCCCATAGTAGACTTGAAGGAATGAACTGTGCCTTACAGTCTCCTGCTTCATAATATGGTTTATTATGTGCTAGTAAATCTATTAAAATTCTCTAACATCCACTTCTTCCTTTCCATTTTCACTGCCACTCCCTAGTGCTGCACTCATGTTCAGGGTGTCTGTCTCACACTAGGACTGGTTCTAAGAATTTCCTCATTGCCCTGCCTCCTTAAGCTCCTTCCCTTTCAGCCAATACTTGACACTTTTGTGATGTTGAGCTTTTTAAAGCACCCTAAACACAAGTCCTTCATCCCTTCAACAGCCTTTAAAGGAGTAGGACCTAAAAATATTCAAGATATTAATACCCTAATGATCATTAAATCCCACCTAGTTATACACTAGAAATCTTGTAAATGTACTTCAGAAGATGCATGTAAGCTTATACATAAAGTTTGGAAGAACAAGACACTGGAAATAACCCAAATGTCTACCAACAGAAAAGTAAACAAAGGATAGATTCATACAATTGATTTACATTACTGTGCAGTATATATTTTTTTCCTCTTTGAACTTTGGCATATATGGTTCACAAGATAAATGTTCTACTTGAGCTGAGCATATTAGGTTTAACATGCCACCTACTGGATAAAGTTAGTGTAGCTTAATGAATTTATCTTTCTAAATACTGAATATTCTGTACATTGTTAACATTTCCTACACCCTCTCTCCCATTTTGTTTGTGTTTTATAGACAAGTAGACAGATACAGTTGACCCTTGAACGGTGTGGGGGTTAGGGGCGCCACCTTCTTGTGCAGTTGAAAACCCGCATATAAATTTTGACTCCCCTAGAACTTAACTACAAATAGCCTACTGTTGACTGGAAGCCTTCCTGATAGTATAAACTGTTGATTAACATGTATTTTGTACGTTATATGTATGATATAGTATATTATGATAAAGTAAGCTAGAGAAAAAAATGTTCTGAAGAAATCAGGGGGAGAAAATACGTTTACAGTACTATACTGTATTTACAGAGGAAAATCTGCATATAGGTGGACCCACACCTCACACAGTTCGAAGGTCACCTGTATATTTACATAATCTTTACAGACTAAGCATGCTAAAAGTGGCCCTATAGTTTGTTTGGATTTGTGCTGGTTAATGATGGATGTTGAAATAAAAGAGGGCTTTATATGTAAATTTTAGGAAAGTAAACCATATATTCTTGGCTAAGAAAAATTGTTATCATGTAAGAGTATTTAAGTATTTTATGAACTCCATGAAGTACTTCGTTCCTTGTAAGCCATTATTTCAGTAATTCCTTATTTAATAGAAAACTTAGATGTCTTTGTATTAATTGTATTATAAATTATGTAGAAGGTGTATTTTTTGTCGTATGAGATCAAAGAAAACTGTGATCCAAGTTGTAGGAGTATTTGGAAATACAAGATTTTATGTGAACATAAAGCTTTTTTGCTACTTTGCTGAGGATAATTAATCTTTTCCTCTAGAATCTTCTATGCCATAGTTATATAATATTTATAAAATAGCATGCACAATTTTAAAAACATTGGGACTCCATTTTTGTGTGTATATGCCTTTAAAATTTACCTTTCAATGTTATTTAAAACATATATTTTCTAGGTGCTGGGAAGACAACACTTCTGAACTATATTTTGACAGAACAACATAATAAAAGAGTAGCTGTTATTTTAAATGAATTTGGAGAAGGTAAGTAAAATTCAATGGATATTATACTGTAAGAATTTATAGGATGCTTTATTCCCCTGGTATATTGATATTCCATATTTAAAAATGAAAATACAAGGTATTATAATGAGAACCCATGACTGTAGATAGTTTTGGGAAAAATAGATTAATTTCTGTCAAGCTTTGTTTTGTACAGATTTGAGGAACTGAAATTATATAGCTTTTATAAGATTTTTTTATTCCATAATTTTGGAATTCATAACATCAGAATTAACTTAGGTTTTTACATGAAATAACTCCACAAGTAGAGATTAAACATATGAAAGAAAGTTCTTTCAGGCACTTTCAAGGTGCTTTTGTACTGACTATATTGTTCACTTGTAACTTTTGAAAAACATTTTAAAATGCTTTAGTATTTATAAGTTTACCTTGTTGGATGTTTATTAATAATTTGCAAAGCATTTAAAACTGAGGAGTTTGGGGCACCTGGGTAGCTCAGTTGGTTAAGTGTCTGACTTTGGCTCAGGTCATGATCTCACAGTTCGTGAGTTCAAACTCCACATGTTGGGCTCTGTGCTGTCAGCTTGGAGCCTGGAGCCTGCTTCAGATCCTCTGTCTCCTTTTCTCTCTGCCCCTTCCCAGCTTTCTCTCTCTCTCTCTCTCAAAAAATAAACATTGAAGAAAAATCTTGAAAAAAAAAACCCTGAAGATTTTAATTTTTTTTTTTTTTAACGTTTAATTTATTTTTGAGAGAGAGAGAGCATAGGCAGGGGAGGGACAGAATTCAAAGCAGACTCCAGGCTCTGAGCTGTCAGCACAGAGCTCAACATGGGGCTTGAACCCATGAACTGTGAGATCATGACCTGAGCCAAAGTCAGATGCTTAACCTACTTAGCCACCCAGGTGTCCTTTAAAACCGAAGATTTTGAAAATGAGTTAAATATATGATTTCCATCCTCAAGCACCCACAGTTATTGTGGAAATGCATGCACTTAAAAGTCTAGATTTTTTGTTTTTAATATTGAACTGTGCTTTACAAAAATCTATACAGCAGTGCTAAACACAATTCTTTGATTACTTTTGTAAGTTTTTCTTCTTATAATAAAAAGCTAAGTGTGAATTTTAATTAAAATCTAAGTGTGAATTTTAATTAAAGCTCACTTTTTGCCAAAAAAATATGTTGAGCTACTTCCTAACACAATTTTCTCAGTTGTAACTGAGTAAAGGAGCTAGGTTTTATGAACAAGGAGACCTGTGAAACTTGATTTCTTTTCTTTTTTTTTTTTTTAAATGTTTTATTTATTTCTAGAAGAGAGAGAGAGAGACAGCGTGAGCAGGGGAGGGTCAGAGAGAGAGGGAGTCACAGACTCTGAAACAGGCTCCAGGCTCTGAGCTGGCAGTCAGTACAGAGCCCGACGCGGAGCTTGAACCCACGAACCGCGAGATCATGACCTAAGCGAAAGTCGGACGCTTAACCGACTAAGCCACCCAGGCGCCCCTTGATTTCTGATTTCAGTAAACCAAAGCGAAAAGTCCTGTTAGATAAAATAAAAATGCTAAGATTTTTAAAAATCCTAATCTTATATTTTAGCTCATTAACTCATCTGTTGGATACTGATCACACTTTTTAGTATTTGTTGCTCTTTTTCATCATTCCTTGAGAATCATTTTGTAATTTTTCCTTTACAGCATTTGCAGTACTTTCCTTTGCATTTTATTATTATCGTCTAAACGCTGAATTTTATAGCAGTCCTTTTATAAAGTCAAAGCTCTTTATCCTTGTCTAACTGAAATATAAACAAAAAATATGGAAATGAAAAATTATCCTTTTTTTTTGGCCATTTTCTTTACTGGACATTTAGAACTCTTCTCTGTCTTTGGTATATTTATTTATTGGAGGAAAAGTAAGATATTTAAAATCAGTTTCTACTATTACAAGCATCTCAGAATTTCACATATTTATTATTGTTTCTTAAGTAAGCATTATGAGAAAACTTAAAAAATTTAATTTTTAAATGAACACATTGCTACCCTGGCCAGGCAGACTTCCTCAAAATGAACTGGGGTTTTTACTCATGCTGGCAATATTTAGTAGTCTAATAGAAACAAAAACAATATAGAGGAAGAATAAAAAGAAAAAAGGAGAAGAGGTAGTGTTTTAAGAGAGTTAAGGCCATATAAAAACCAATATATTGATATAATATCAAGAAAGAGTGCTTTTGAAGTAGCTATTTTATTAGGATATAGGAGTGGGCAGGTCGGAGACCTGAAGAGGAAGTAGGCATGAGTGGTTAATTTAGGATCTGCCTTTTGAGGGGCTTAAATCCTCTAAAAGAAATGAAAACTAAAGTACTCTATGGTAGTAGAGTTTAAAACATTGAGGCTGCATGAATAGAATGGAAGAATGCAAGTTACAAAGTGTATTTGTATAAAACGACTCGAAATCTGTGTTGTTGATACCCTCATCTTTGTTTTTGGTTGGCTAATGAACACAATCTAAAGAGTGCTTCTCGTTACTTATTATAGGAAGTGCCGTGGAGAAGTCCTTAGCCGTCAGCCAGGGTGGAGAGCTGTATGAAGAGTGGCTGGAACTCAGAAATGGCTGCCTCTGCTGTTCAGTAAAGTGAGGAATGTGTTTACTGCGTGCATGTTGGTCTGTTATAAATGTTTATTGGTCAGATTTCCAGCTTTGATTTTCTTGTGTAATTTAACTCAATTTACATAGTCTGCTCCATTGTATTTTCGATATAGAAAATAACTTATTAGGATGTAATTTCTTAGAGTGTTTCTTGGTGTCTTATTTATTTTTCTCTCTGCTCTAATGCTTTGGTCCTTTTATTGAATTTATTGTCTTTGATGTCAGGGTTTAATGAATAATCTCTGTGGTACATGAAACTCACATTTCATGTGTAAAAAATTATTTTATTTTTAATGGGTCATTGGTCTTATTTCCAAGGATTCAGCTTCTAAAAACAAAAATAAATGACCATTGAAAAGGTAAAAAACAAAAAACAAAAAACAAAAAAAACCCCTCAAGCTCTGTTCTACCAGTTATAGTCGTTTCCAAGGACACTGTCTCTTTTTTTACTAATATACCATAGATCTGTGAAAAGGACCTTACATACCTAGTCACTCAGATATTTGTTGAGTAAATTAGGAAAATTAATACCTGTACTATCGATTTTGTATATTCTAGTGAATGAACTTTTCCTACATTGTTTATAACTTAGGTTTTTGACTTTGAGTCAAATATATTAACAAAGCGAAAATCATGACAGATTTTCTTGAACAACCAAAATGAAATCCATTAAGTGTTCTCTTGCACTGTTGATCTTCTAAGAAAACAGGAAAACTGAGGTCTGGTTCTCTAATTCAGAACAGAATTGAAAAGTATTTTATGATTGTGTCCCTTTAGTTGTTATATTAAAACCACTGTAATTCGTAAATTTTTATCATTGCTTTGGATGTTGATTTTTTTCTTAGTGCTATAAAAATAGCAGAATTTGACTTTGGTCAGATTCATTAAAATTTTCTCTGTTTCTAGTTTTAATAAAATTACAGTATTAATTCATCATTCACCTGATTTATTTTACTCATCAGCACATGTGCATCTATTTTCCCCCACCTTTGGTAAATATTGACGGACTTTGTGTTAGAAGTTTGGGAAAGAGTTAAATTTTTACATTTGTGTGTGTGTGTGTGTGTGTGTGTGTGTGTGTGTGTGTTTAATTTTTAAAAATATTTTATTTCTGAGAGAGAGAGAGACATCGTGAGCAGGGGAGGGTTAGAGAGAGAGGGAGATACAGAATCTGAAGCAGGCTCCAGGCTCTGAGCTGTCAGCACGGAGCCCGACGCGGGGCTCGAACCCACGAACCATGAGATCATGACTTGAGCCAGTCGGACGCTTAACCAACTGAGCCACCCAGGCGCCCCAAATTTTTACATTCCTAATGGTATATTTGTCTCAGGTTGCTAAGTATACTTTAAAACGTTTATAATGATCTCTTAAAAATATTCAGGTAATCAACTATTTTTTATATTTTGGTATTCTCCAGGGACAATGGCCTTAAAGCTATTGAGAATTTGATGGAGAAGAAGGGGAAATTTGATTACATACTATTAGAGACCACTGGGTTAGCAGATCCTGGTAAGAAATGATATTATTAATAACCAGAATGTAGTTCTTAAACATTTTACATGTATTAGAGAAATATGTAAAGTAGGTTTAATAATCTTTAGACTAAAAATTTTGGTTGTTGTTTAAAACAGGAAAAATACTGGATTGTCATGTTTCTTTTGTAGATAAATCACGATCAGAGTAGTTGGTACTTTTAATCTGATGTGGGATTTGAATTTCAACTGATTGTTTTAAAATTATTATACGAACAGAAGTTGTTGAAAGTATGGAAATTTAGGAAAAATAGAGACATCCTACTTATAAGTGTATAATAGATTGGTTATACTGTACAGAGATCTTGTTTCTGATTATCTTCTAATCCAGCTTTCTTAGAGAATCATTTAGAGATGTTTAAGAGCCTTTGGACTCTAATCCCACCTATACTTAGTCCTTTTGAATTAATTGTTAGCATTTTGCTTTTCTACTACTAAAGTTGAAATAATTTTATTTGTTAATACTGTCTTTAGGTACAGAGTTCAATTAAGCCTACTGGGCCTTTTTCCTGGCATGGAATTAACAATTATCCATGGCATTTTAATCTCTGAGTGGAATTACATGTAGACTTCTCTATTGAAAGCTACACAGGGTTGATCTGGTTTCAACAGTAGGTGTCTGTTTCCTTCTTACCCAGATATCCTTTTAGGTAACACCTTTATTTGTAGTTTTCAGAGTATGTAGTGTTCGTCTTGTAAGTCTGATCATACCGTTTTTTTTTTTTTTTTTTTGGATCTGAGTTAATGGCATTGGGCCATAAAACCACACTAAAGTACTGTTTAGGAAGAATTTATTAAAGGGCTCATGGGGCGCATCTTGGCTCAGTCGGTAGAGCATGTGACTCTTGATCTCAGTGTTGTGAGTTCAAGCCCGTTGTTGGGCTTGAAGCTTACTTAATATAAAAAAAAGTTAATCAAAAGGGATCATAATTGTTTTAAAGAAACATTGAAGTATACTGTAGGTCCAAATGTAATCAGTGGTTGTTGTACTTAAAAATAGTGCACAATAGGATTGCCTCGTGTTTTCCAGCTAGTGTTGAGTTGGGCTGCTTTGTCCTGTTGGAGATATACTGCGTACATCTTCCTTCATTTTTAATAGATTTGATTGACGATGGGAGTGGGACTGTTACATTGATGTTAAATATTAAATTCATTTAAATTTGGTAAGATTGGGAAATACATTGTATGCCTCTGTTTTGAAATAGCAAATATCACTTTCTTTCATGGTAGCTGTTTAATAAGAGGAAAACTCTTGTAACTTTTCTTTGAGAGTAGGTGAGTTCAGTAAAACATGGTTCAGCTTTCCGGAGGGAGAAAGAAAAGTTAAATAAAGATCTCAGAAAAAGCTTTTGTGCAAATTGTAGGTAGGAACAGGTTAGTATTTCTTGCTTCTAACTTTCTTTAGAATAATGATTTTATTGTTTGCGTAAAAATGGAACATTCATTGTAAAAAAAATCTTTTTTACCCAATACCTAAGAAAATATAAAGAAGAAAGTTAAAATAAATCACACTGTATTTTACTGCCTTGAGATAAAAGTAGGTAAATTTTATTCTAGGGATTTTTCTGTGCCAGTGCTATTTGCTGAATGACAGCATCAGGTTCCGCTAGGAGCTTGTGAAAAATGCAGGTTCTTGGGCTCTCTCCCCAGGTCTTCTGAATCAGAATCTGTAAGAGTGAGGCCCAGCAATCTGTTTTATTTTCCAGGTGATTGTTCACATTCATAAATTTGGGGAACCTTGCTCTATGTGCTTCTGAAAGCTGTGTAAATATAGAGATAATTTTATAAAAATTAGATTGCATTTTTTGCGGTATTCTTTTTTTTTAATTTTTTAAAGTTTATTTATTTTTGAGAGAGACAGAGACAGTGCAAGTCGGGGAGGGGCAGAGAGAGAGGAAGACAGAATCCCAAACAGTCTCCACGCTATCAGTGCAGAGCCCAGCGTAGGGCTCGAAGTCACGAAAATGAGATCGTGTCCTGAGCCAAAACCAAGATCAGTTGCTTAACCTGCTGAGCCACCCAGGTTACTCTTTCTGTGCTGTTGTTAATATTAGTTGAGTTTCACTTGAACGTAAAAGAAAAGAATTTGGAGGCAGTTCAAGATGGCAGCTTAGGAACACCCTGAACTTACCCTCCTCCCACAGACACACCAGATCTGCAGCTGCTTCTGGAATAATTCCTGCTCAGGAAGAACTGGAAACTAGCTGAAGAATTCCCTGTACGACAGGGAGTGGAAGGGCCACGTTACAATGGGTGGTAGAGGCGGAGATGTGGTCTTGCCAGAATCTTCACCCTGGTGCAGTGACCCACCGTAGGGACGGGCTTCCCAGGCCTGGAGGAGGGACGGGTTTATGTTCCACTTCGGGTATGTCAACCCTTAGAACCTGCATTAGAGAGACGAGGCTCCCCATATGGATTCGGAAACAGGGGCTTGTGTACAGTGGATGTTGGGGGCTGGGGGGAATCTGACATACTCCTTGGGAGGCACTTACACACAGGTATGCTCATCTTGGGACCGGCCCCAGTGCACAGGCAGCAGTGTGAGACGTGACGGGATTGTATGTGAAGGAGATTCATTTTTTACTCCTCAAGTGTTTGCTGGAGGGACTAGGATCAGTCGGGACTTTGTCTGGGGACAGAGGTGCTTGTGAGCACCATTTTTGCACTCTCCTTCTGCTTTGCCAATGCAGTCAGGCAGTGTGGGCACAGCCTCCCTAAAGCATGAGGGTCCCACATCCTCAGCCGCCTCCCTGCCTCACTGAAGCCTGGGGTGTATCCGGCTCACATTGCTCTCCTGCATCCCTAAAGCCCTGTGTGTGCCCCGCCCTCAGCACTCCTGCAGCCTCACTAAAGTCTGCCTTTGAGTGCAGTCCACACTGGGAATGCCCCTGCATCACCTGGCCCTGGTGGCCAGAGGGGCCTGAGTTTCTGCTCCCCTTGGGACTAATAGGAAGGTAGTTATGGGAAGGCTACCATACCCAAGGCCCCGTGTAGATGACAGGCTAAAACACACCACTCGTCCGCCTATGGAAAAGGCTTGTCCACTTATGCTGGAGCTTTAGCCTGAGGGGCAGGCTTCACAGGTGCTCAGGGAGTGTAGACAGGGAGACACTCTCCTTGAGCACTTCTCTGGCCTTACCAGAGCTTGCAGGTACCTCCAGAAAGCTTGTACACTTGTGTGAACCCCTGACTTTTGCACCTGGACTTCAGGGGACATCTGCAGATCTCTTGGCCTGGGGATCAACAGGGTTTACAGTTGTGGTCTTACAGAGCTATAGATTTGCATACTCCAAAAGGTCCCCCTGAGGATCTGTTTCTAGTTAACCTGAAACTAGTTGCTGAGATCCCTCCCGTTGGGACACTAGCAGGTCTTGACACAGCCTCAGCAACTGGGGTCTGTCAAGAATAAATCAGGCTGATTCGGTAGTCCGAGTGTTTCAGAGAGACAACCAAGAGCTAGGGCAGGGTCACCAGTAAGGTTTACCTCATTTACAAGGACACCCTTTAAGACTGGGAGAGGTAGTCGCTTTGCCCAATACATAGAAATAAACAGTTGATTAAAATGAGGAGACAGGAATATTTTCCAAATGAGACAAAATCTCAGAAAAAAGACCTTAAAGAAGGGGAGAGAAGTAATCTACCTGATAAAGAGTTCCAGGTAATGGTTATAAAGATGCTTACCAGAGTTAGAAGAATGGTTGAACACAGACTTAAACAAAGAAACTATAAGGAAGTACCAAACACAAGTTGCAGAGCTGAAGAATACAGTATCTGAAGAGTAAAATATATTAGAAGGGTTCAGCATAAATGAAGCAGAAGAACAGATCAGTGACCTGGAAGACAGGGCATTGAAACTCAGCCAAACAAAACAAGAGCAACAACCGCAATGAAAAATTAATGAAGAAAGCTGAAGAGCTTATGGGACACCGTCAAGTGGAATAACCTTCACGTTGTAGGGATCCCAGAAGGAAAACAGAATGAAAGAGGCAGAAAACTTCCCTAAACTGGGAAACAAAACAGACATCGAGGTCCCAGAAGCACAGGGTTCCAGATAAGATGAACTCAAAAGACACCCAAGTCAAGAGACATTATATTAAAATGTCAAAAATTTAAAGAGAGGATCTTAAAAAAGCAGCATGAGAACAAGTTGTCAAGTACAAGGGAATCCCCACATCACTATTAGCTGATATTTTCAATGAAGCTTTGCATACCATCATGGCATGATACATTCAAAGTGCTGAAAGGAGAAACTTCCAGCCAAGAATATCTACCTGCCAACATTATCATTCAGAATTGAAGGAGAGGTTTCTAGACAAGCAAAAGTTAAAGGAATTCACCACTAAACTGGCCTTATGGACATGATAAAGGAACTTCTTTAAGCCGAAAAGGTACTATTAATAAAACATACGAAAGTAAAAATCTTGCTGGTATCACTTGCAAATTTGCTATGAAGGCTAAAAGACAAAAGTAGTAAACTTAAGTATAACAACAATAATTAAAGGATATACAAAGTAAAAAGATATAAAGTATGACCTCAAAAACATGTGGACAACAGAATTAAAATGGGGGAGCAAAAATGTAGAGTTTTTACAGTTATTCAACTTTAAGTTGCTATCAATTTGAAATAGGCATATATGTGTATAAGTTGTCATATGTGAGCCTCATGGTAACCATAAAGCAGAAACCTATGAGAGGTACAGAAAAGATAATGAGAAACAAATCTAAACATTGCACTGAAGAAAGGCATTAATCTGCAAGGGAAGACAGCAAGAGAAAAAAGAGAGAGAGAGGGACTACAAAACCAGCCAGAAAATAGTTAACAAAATGATAAGAAGTACATGCCTATCAATAATTCCTTTAAATGTAAATGCACACAATCTCCTATCAGAAGATGTACAGTAGTTGAATAGATTTAAAAAAAGATTCGTCTATATGTTATTGCTGACAAGAGATTCACTTCAGATCTAATAACACACA